GTTTGCAGATGAGTCATGCTTTTCTTTTTTCAATGATAACTCACTGCATACGAGTATGGAGTCGATGTGGAGGCAGGTCCAATCTGGCAGTAACTGTGAAATGCGACAAAGCGGCATCATGATTTTGGGTGCAATTGCATACAATCCCAGGTCACCTCTAGTTCGTTGGGCACTATGACAGCCCAACAATACGTAGATGATGGGATGCAACTAGTGACACTCCCCTACCTTCAGGGAATGTCCAATCTCCCTTATCAGCAGGATAACGCCCAACCACACACTGCTTGCATCAGTCAACATGCTCTGGTAGGTGTACAGATACTTCCCTGGCCACTGTTCTCTCCTGATCTCTCCCCAATCGAACACATTTGGGATGTGATTGGACACCATTTGGAGTCTCTGCCATTGCTGCATTCAGATGAACTGTGGCAAATGGTTGACAGCGAGTGGAGAGCCATTCCTCAGGATACCATTCATAGTTTCGTTGACTCTGTATCTAGACCCGTTGCTTTGTGTATCGCCATCGAAGATGTCCTACAACCTACTGAGCCATTGCTATTCTTGCTCTGTATTATGCATAGCATTTCGAAATAAAGATCACTTACTGTTCATTGCTGTCTTGCTCTGTTTGCCGAGTTTCATCACTTTCTGGCCACTACTTCTTGGTGTTGCATTCTCAGTGTCGGGTAGTGTATTATTGCTATTATTAGTATTACTAAAAAGTTCTATATATGTACTTCAATGTACAAGAACATTATAATTTTATAACAATTATTAGATCTAGTATGAAAGTATTAGAAGTGGTAAACTGACTGATAGTAATTCAGAAGTCAAACAACAAAAATCAGCGTTATATTTACAAAATTTTCACAGGACTAGTTTCGATGGTTTTACCGAATCCTGAATCATCTTGACTTTTTACTTAAATGTAAATGTAAAAAATTGATCCCCAATTTTATTCAAATCAAATCTAATCAAAAACCTTCGAGTCGCGTTTCAAGAATTCTGTTAAATTGCAAGCTTGCCTTACTTCGGTCTGTCATAAGGGATACACATCAACAATTGTCCAAAATTGAACGTGAACTCTATAAGCTTCATCTGGAACTCGCTAAATCATATCCAAAATTCACTGCCCTTGAACAAAAGTCTTGGTCTAGAACGGAGAATGCAGTTAACCGCAATAAAAACACTCTTGAAGTTAAATTCGAAAAACTTCTTTTACAATCTTCCAGTTCAAGTAGTTCAAAAAATCTTCCCATTGTAAACATCAAGCCAATAGTTAATATTTCTAATGTTAGTCTTTCAGAAGAACAAGAGAGAATTCTAAAATATAATTTGAACTTCTCACAAACCTGTAAACCCTCGATTACAAAGATTTTGGCTCCTATCGAAAATGCTCTCAAGTTCAGTAAAGTTTCAGATTCACAGAAATAAATGATTAGGCATCTTATCGCTCATAATGTGAAATTCAATAATAAACCTTTGAAACCAAATCTAACTGCGAGAGAAAGAGCTACATTGCGTGAAATTCATTCTAACCCGGATAATATTATTTCAAAGGCTGACAAAGGTGGCCAGATAGTCGTCATGGATAGGAACACTTACATCGATGGTGTCACTAAACTCTTAAATGAAGGACCATATAATCCGATCCCTAAAGATCCTTCACCTTCGGACTTGTCAAAAATAAAAACTGCGATCAAATCTTCGCAAATCATTTCAGGCAACTTAAAACATTCACTTATCTGTTGCGAATTGTGCCAGATTATATGCTCTTCCCAAAATTCATAAAAGTGGTATTCCTTTCCACCCTATTGTATCAAATTTAGGTACTGCCTCGTATCCATTAGCTAAATATTTAGTTTCTAGATTTTCAACTCTATTAGACAATAACATTTACACCATAAAAAATTCAATAGAGTTTGTAAAAAAGTTAAAAACATTTCTCCTAGTAATTTACTTATGGTTTCTTTTGATGTAAATCATTATTCACCAATGTCCCGGTGGAGGGTGCACTAAGATGTCTAGAAACCAGACTTCGCGAATTCCATTTCTCTTGCATCAAAATTGATGAGCTAATTTCTCTCACTCAACTCTGTTTGAAACAAACACATTTTGTTTTCCAAAATAAATATTACAAGCAAACTGAGGGATTAGCCATGGGAAGCCCCCTCAGTCCTATCCTGACTGATATCTACGAGGGCCATCCAGGAAGTAGATTACGTTTCCGTTTGTGTCCGCTAGGGGCGGGGCTAGCGCGGCCATCTTGGGGTCAGAGCGTTGCGCAGCTCAGTCTGCATCTAGCCGTGCTAGTGAGAGGTTCGTGCTGTGCTCCGTTCAGATACTGTGACGGTTTGAAATGTCTGCGTTAATTGAAAATCCCGCAAGCTGCGAGGTGCGCTCAGTAATAAGGTTTCTGACTGCAAAAAACTGTAAACCGATAGAAATCTATCGGCAGCTTCGTGAAGTGTATGGGGACAACATTATCACTGAAGGTGGAGTGCGTCAGTGGGTCATAAGATTTCAAAATGGCCGAACCAATGTTCACGACGAAGATCGAAGTGGGAGACCCAGCATAGTGACCGCCGAACTTCTCGAAAAAGTCGATGCTAAAGTCCGTGAAAATCGAAATTTCACAATAACGGAACTTTCTTTGAGTTTTTCCACAAATTTCGCGAAGTTTGTTGCACAAAATCATCAGCGAAAAGCTTGGTTACCACAAGTTTTGTGCAAGATGGATTCCAAAAATCTTGACAGAGGACCACAAAATCAGCGAATGGCTGCAGCGTTGAACTTTTGGACGCTTACCATAAGGATGGTGACTCTTTACTACTCGATCGCATCGTTACTGGTGACGAAACATGGGTGAAACATGTGAACTGTGAAACGAAATTGCAATCAATGCAGTGGGGGCACACAAGTTCTCCCCAAAAACCCAAGAAATGCATGCAAACAATGTCGGCAAGGAAGATGATGGCGACTGTTTTTTGGGACAGAAAAGGTGTAATTTTGGTGGACTTCCTGGAAAGAGGCACTACAATAAACTCTCAAACGTATTGCCAAACTCTCCAAAAACTCAGAGAGCAATTCAAAACAAGCGCAGAGGAATGTTGAGCTCTAAGATCTTGTTGATTCACGACAACGCTCGGCCCCACACGGCAAATGTCACTCGTAAAGTTCTTGAATCTTTTAAGTGGGAGTTGTTTCCTCATCCGCCGTACAGTCCCGACCTGGCACCGAGCGACTTCCACCTATTCCCAGCAATGAAGAAGTGGCTGGCTATGCAGCGTTTTGATGACCACGCACAGCTGCAAGAAGAGGTAACGAAGTGGTTGAAGGCGCAGGCGGCCGAATTTTTCGACGAAGGAATTTCCAAGCTCGTACATCGCTACGATAAATGCCTTAATTTGTATGGTGACTATGTAGAAAAGTAGTATTTGAGTGTGGCTTTCATCTGTATATAATAAAATTTGTTTCCTATACTTTGTTTATTTTTTTTATTCCAAAACGTAATCTACTTTCTGGATAGCCCTCGTACATGCATTATTATGAATCAAAATTGTTTGAAACTTTAAACTTCCCGGCATGGTTCCGCTACGTAGACGATACTTTTACTCTGTTTGAAGGTAATATAGATGATTTAAATAAAGTTCTTTCAACAATGAATTCTATTGATCCTGCTATTCAGTTCACTTTTGAACTTGAGACTTGCAATTCTCTTCCGTTTCTCGACATTCTGGTCACACGTAACACATCCAACTTCAGTACTACGGTTTACCGTAAACCTTCATCGGTTTGCCTTCCACCACACTTTAAATCATGTCATCCGACTAAACAAAAGTTAGCTTCATTTTATTCCTATGTTTTCCGTGCTCTTCAAGTTTGCTCCTCCAAACTAGCCCTTGATGAAGAACTAAATTATTTAAAAGCAATAGCTATTGACAGGGGCTTTTCCACCCAACATTATTAATCAAGCAGTTAAAAAATTCTCATCTCAACACACTAAAAGGCACACTCTTGTTTTAGGAGATTATAAAAATTCTGTTGTCATTCCCTTCTTTCCATCAATTAGCTATAAAGTTGCACATATTTTGCAGAAATTTAACTTTCGGGTTGTTTATTCTTCCATCAATAAAATTCCGAGTTCCATACTCAAGGACCCCATTCCGGATATGAATTCCTGGGGTATTTATAGGATTCCTTGCCAGTGTGGTTTAATTTACATTGGCCAAACTAAGAGAGCCTTAAAATTTCACGTCAAGGAACATGAGGCATATGTTAGAAAAAAGGAAACACAGAAGTCTTCTGTTGCTCAACATTGTTGGTCCGAAAACCACACTTTCAGTTTTTCTGCTGCCAAAATTATTCAAAAAACATCTTCCATTGGAGAACTGGATTTTCTAGAGGCATTTCACATTCATAAAAATCTTTCTGTTCTATTTAACGATCCTAATTCCAATCCAAATTTGCCTTCGGCCTTTCAAGAAATTATGTCTTAGTTCTGGTTTCACCAACAGATGGCGCCACTTGCTTATTCTTGTCCAGGCTTTCTTATCTTATCTAATCATTATTTCCTATCTTGTTCATTTGCGGTTTTGCAGCTGAAGATGGTGGTTTGGTAAAACCATCGAAACTAGTCCTCTGAAAATTTGTAAATATAACGCTGATTTTTGTTGTTTGACTTCTGAATTAGTATTTATTCGGCGTGTTATTGTGTCTTGACTGGTAGTAATTATGTTACCATACTTCCAATAAGTTTTAATACAATGTAATACTACAACACTAAGGAAACAGATATTATTTTCATATTTTTTAGAATCTGCATCTCCATAATTTATGTTTCCTTTCGCAATAATATTTACCAACAATGTCTAAAAATTTGTTAAAGCATTTTAATTACACACATTGTTTTATGCTTCAGGAAGGTATTTTAAAATTACACAAAAATAGAATTAAAATATTCATAATATTATAAGCAATGATAATAATAAAACTTTTACCTTCTCTTTAAAGTCTCTAATGAAAGTCAAAAATTCTGGGCATGTTTTCTTTAAAAACTGGAAGAATAAAAGTAAATAAACAAAGAGTTTTTACAGTATATGATAGTAATCAGCTAATATAACTATACAATACCATCATTTTCTCTTGCTTTGTTACAAACTGCCAGTTTACTTCCTCCTCTACTACTTCTTCTTCTTCTGAAAGGTCAACAAACTAAAAATAAAAGAATTAAAGATTTTCTGAGCTTTTAACAACAATTAGCCTTTAAGAAATTTTAAAAAATCATAATAGAACAGAGCTAGTGTATGCCACTTTAATTTTGTACAGTTCAATAGATAATGACTAGGGCAGAAATTTTAATGAGAAGAAGGGAGAAGACTAAATTCATGCAGTAATGAAAATTCATAAAGTTTTGTGCCTTGTCATCTACACCAACAATTTGGCAAAGGACAATATACATTAACATTTCAGGAGGGACGACTACCAGAAATGACGTATTAACACAAATAATTATAACTAAATGTGCATTGTTATTATGAACATTTTAATTGCAATTCACATTAATAATTCAATTAGATTCTAGATATATATTCAACATCATTATTTTAGATAAATATTGCTATTTAACCGGACAGTGTTTTTACAAATTCTACTGCTCTAACATAGATTATCTGATACTTTTCCATTAAATCCATATCATGCATTTTCAGCCTCATAGTGATGCATTTTTGCTTAATTCTTTCCTCCACCTTCAACTTAATATTAGATGAAGGAGAAGGTGCAGAAATAACAAAAAAGAACAGTCTTTAATTTCATGACAAAATCCTTTTTCTTTTTGTGAATACATTTTCATCTATTTTTTTAATTTGTGTAAATTGACTTTAACGTTAAGATTGGAATTGGCAATATCACTATATTATTCCAATCAAACACTTTTGGTGCAAGCTTTTGTTTTCAAAATTTGATAAGCTTCACAACATAAGTAATTAATTGTACAACAGCAATAAAAGCAATGCATTTCAACAATCCACATTTGCCTTTCGAATCCAATTTTCAGTGAAGGCTGCATAAACAGTTTGATTTAGAGTCACATTTAATTTCATGGCGTGATTATTCAAATACAATCTTCCTTTGTGAAAAATGCACCTTTTTTAAAGAAACAGAATAGGTGCTTCTTCATCTTTTATCAAACTCAAGCCACACATTATAGAGGGGAGAGGGACAAATTAGATGAAAAACATAGTTGCATAAAAGATTATAAATACAATTATCACAAGGAAAGAAGCCAAAAACTAAACTCATGACACTTAAAGCTGAGAAAATATACCAAAACAAACAAATGAGAGAGAAGAGAGAGAAAGAGAAAATTACCAACTAACTATTATTATTGTTGAAAAAAAAGACTTGGCATAAAAATTGTTTGTCAGCAATAGCAAAGTATTTTCTTATATTTTTTAAATGTAATTAAACTTGGGTTCATTCAAAGTTTTGATTTAAGTATTAGAGCAGATTATTTTACAGTTTGCTTTTATCAAAATTATAATGAAAAGCAACAGAAAAACCATCTAAACAGGAAAAATATGATTATAAAAGAAATTAAAAAATAATAGGTAAAACTCTGAAATTCATACAAAAATCTAATATTTATGAAATTTTAGAAAATCCCCTAAAGTTTAAGGAAAAATTGTGGAGATTCATGCAATAATAAAGCTTCTGCTGTAATCATGCTTTATGGAAGGTAATGAATGATAAAATTATTTGACAATCAACTGATGGTATTTGGGTGATTTCAGTTTTCCACTTTCCAGCTAAAAATAAAATTTAATTCAGTGAATATGAACTACTTTTTCTCTTGGAATGTCAGACAATTAAAGCATACCCAATTTGATTCTGTTGGAATGTTCCACTCAAAACCATAAACAAAGGACAAATTTCTCTTTTCATATTCATTTATAAAAAATATATTCCAAACATAGGATGCTAAGTATTATGAAATAAACATTAAATAATAATAAAAATGGAACACAACAGGACTCTGGGAACAGTTGACCCAGATATTAAAAAAATTGGTATAGTTGGACTGTATAAATTGTAGCATAAAAATATGAATTTTATTTTTCCATTTATTGGATTTTAAATTAATAATTAAATTAATAATTAACAAATAAAATTTTATAAATTAATTAATTAATTTTTATAAAATAAAGCATCTTTTCCAAAACTGAACAATGAGATTATTTTCCATAATTTTCTTAAATATGCAATTATCAAAACAGTAAATATCATATTTATTTGAACTAAAACAAATAATAAAACAAACTTTTGTTTACATATGCACTGAAAGTATACATACAATCTTAATTCTGCTTTTACTGTAATTAAATAAACAATTAAAAAAAATTAAATACAACACACTTTCATTAGACTTAAATTACATTATGAAATTTTCTTATTAATGCAAAAAAAATGTAATTAAGAAGATGATAATAATTTATAATTACATTTTTGCATTTAAAAATGTTTAATAAATTAACGTTAACTAATTAAAAATATAAAATTTTGGTATATTTAAATTTATTAAAAAATGTTACTTGGCTTTGACAGCAGAACAAGTAATTTAGATAACTAGAATTATGTGATACTGGGGGGAGGGGGGAAAGAAAAATGTAAAATAAACAGTAAAAAATGTTGTTAAAATCATTTTTATTTAGAAAATTTATTTGACTTGAAAATTCTAGTTAATAAAAAATGAGGAGGGGGAAAAAAATCAGACTTTCATCTAAATTGGAAAAAGCATACTGCATTTCATTAGGCTCAATTAATGCTTTTTTGGGGGGAGGGAGAGTCTTAATGGACAAATATGAAATTAAAGATCAGAAACTTTTAATTTTTTAAGCCTAAGCAAACTGCACTAACTTCATCTACTCCTCACTTTTGCATATTGTTAAGAACCAAAAATAGTTTCCAAGAATGTGCACTTTAGCACTAAGAACATTGCTTGCACGAATGTAGAGGAGGTGGGAATTGTGAATAAATCCCCTGCTAACTTAATTATTACCCCTGCTAACTAATAATTTTTACTTTATTTATTAGATGGGATTTCATGAGCCTAATTTTAGTGTTAATAACTTCATATATATAATTCAGAACATCATTATAAAACACAGTTGAAAATTATACTTGTAAGTTTCCTCCTAAATTATTAGTAGTTATACTGCTCAAGACACTTTTTTGAATGGCAAGAGCTTCTTCAGCCTCTGCCTTAGCAGCTTCAGCATCTTCTTCTCGATAAGCTATAATTATATAAGATTAAATAATTACTTCAATAATCATTTACAATGAGTGAACATAACACTACAGGAAATTCAGTATAAGACAGTTAATATTCCTCTCTCATACATATTCCAGCAACATTAATTGAAAAGTAAGAGCAAATTACTGTGTATAAGTTAAGAACTATGTAACTTATTAATTTCTACACTACTGAAGAACAAATACTTTTGATAGATATCAATTAAATACAACATTATAAGCAAATACAATTCCTTTTTCTTGATAAACCTACAATGTAAAAACACAGAATAAAAATTTTAAATCTTCTATAACACTGAGAAAATTAATAATATTAAAGAATTTAGTTGTCTCTTTTTTTTTTTAAAGTTTTTAATCACACTTTATTAATGTGGTTTAAATAGACATAGTAAAGAAACACAGTATCAATGATTTATTTCCGCTGTTAGTAAATGTTAACTTACAAACTTTAATTAATAATTTTAATCTGTAATATATACACAATTTCAAAATATATGAAAAAAGAAAATTTAATTTAAGCAATAATACCAGTGAAAAATAACTTACTTCGTCCTCTATCTTCATCAACAAAATCCGCATTAAAATAAACAGATTTTTTCTACCCCATGCTTCAGGATTAGGCAAATCTATACAAATAAAAATATAATAAATAAATAATTACTTCTTTTATAGTATACATCTGCATCTAGGATAAAATCACATGAAAAAATGGTACAAAAACAAATTGATAGTTTGAATTAAGATTTATTTATGAAAATAACTTACTTCAAAAGTTTTCTTCTAATATAGTTCCTTCTTAGGAATTGTTAAAGTTAAAATCAACTTCACCTACAAATATTTGATTACACTAATACACCATATCCAGAGGCAATTTATTTCAGGACATGCCATGGATATGTGAAATTGCAAATGCTATGTAGAACAGGATAGTCCCATAACATACATACATCCAGTGAAGTTTAACATGTTTCTGCTGGTGTCAATATAATCGCGCTTACTTTGCAGTTTGTGTAACTTCTGCCTTTTTTAATCCTGCATACAGGCTTACTTTGCAGTTTGTGTAATTTGTGCCTTTTTTCATCCTGCACACACCCTTACTTTGCAGCTTGTGTAACTTGTGCCATTTTTTCATCCTAACACACATTTCTTCCAGTAATTGGAACTAGAAAGGTGGTTAACACTTTATCTTTTTAAATTTTTGCCTTTATAAATAATAGGTAACATGGATATGGAAAGAAGTGATTCATTTGATGAATCTGTAAATGGAAGCAGGAGAAATACATCAAGATCAAGAATATTCTCAATTTTTTCAGACAAGGATTTTGTTATGCAGTGTTTGTTCGATTCTTCAATGCATGGCCCCAGATGGGAGATTCAAGCGTGACCTATCAGTGAATATGGGTTTGTAATGGATTGAATGCACATGGAACTAATGATCTCTTGATAAAATTTATTTTTCCAAAAGAAACACCTTACCTTCTCTAGAACTCTCCACAAAAGTACTCATACAGTTTTTCTCACTATAACAGAGCACTATCAGTAGTTACCACTTTAAACTACTAATAATGTTCAATACAATGCAATAGTGCATCTAAAAGGCAAAGCTCTCACGTACATCTCTTAACACTCTGAAATGAGCTCTAAAACTAAGAAATGATGCTTTCTCCAGAATTATATAGTTTTTTCCCTGTCCACCAAGAAATTTCCAGTGCATCCCATTTGGCAAAATGACTGGAAGGCATTGTTAAAGTTACATATTAACAAGTGGATACAATTAAGTTACACTAAATGGGTCGATTACAGTAGCAAAAATTTATACAGGGACCAGGCCTGCATAACATTTTTGGTACTCCAAATTTAAATTAGTCCATATTTAAATGTTTGCTAATTAAAGTTGTACAGGGACTAGACCAAAATGTCAGCAAGTTTGGTGACTTTTGATTTTCCTCCAAAAATTAGTCAGCAAAACCATCACTAGCTTAACAACATCCCACCAATTTAGGAAGATAGCTATTTACCTCATTGTTAAATAAACTTGTGCCTGTAAACTCATTTTTACGGCAAAGCTTTCGCTTCTTCAAGCATTTCAAAAAACCTTAACGTCCTTCTAGGTTTAAAAAAAAAAAAAAAAACTCTTCTTTTTTTGCCTTATTGCTTCAAGAAGATCTTAATGATTTTCTTGAGACACTCTACAGATATTGTTATGTCGTGGAGCAAAAACAATTTTACTTTATACCTGACTGCCACTGGCTCCGACATAGCAATGTGAATACTCTACATCTAAAATTTTAAAACACCATTGCAGAATTTTAAATGTTTATTTAATAGAATTCTATTCATATATTTGCAAGTTATACACTATAAACACAATAAACAAAATTTGAACTTATCTGCACCAGCGTGAATAAGCCTGGAATAATATTCTGAACTCGACGCAATTTTAGGAGGAAAATATACCGCAAATTCAAACACAAGGTTTCATCCTTTCCAACGCAGCTAATTTTCTAAATATATATTACTAATATCCGCAGCGGGACAGCGGATTCATTTCATTCACCCAAAACTCAAATGTTTTAACACAATAGTATCGCAAAGGAAAACGTCGACCCAAAATATCTATAGAATATCATCCGCTGTTGCCATTACAGCACTGCCAAGTTTTTCTTCCTGCAGCTGTTGCCAGACTTATCTTCGCTGTATGATGAGAGGTACAACAGATATATTGATAAATATATCTGTGGAGATAAATGCATTTATCTATCCACTCCACAGATAAATGCATTTATCTTATCTTTTTAGTCGCTATATACCTTAAACACTTTTGATGCTTGGCTTTTATAAATTGAGATTTTTTACACATTCTCACCAGTAAAGGTGTCACCTTCCATTTCATCAATATTTAGGTAGAATAAAATAGTGAAGTGATTTAGACCATGATACTGAATGTCTTTAGAGGCTAGCCATTTTCAATGCATCATATAAAAGAAAAGACTTCCATCAACACTGAAAATGTGTATAACTGATATTTATACACTTCTTTCAACAAATTCAGAGATATCTTTAGATTCTCTGCTTATATACAATATGTTATTCTGTGGTGTAAGTTAAATTTATACAGCCATTCAGTTGGAAAACAGTCACCTTTCATATTTACCAGCAGTGTTATTTTATGCCTTTTATTTTACAGCAGGCTAGTTCATTGGAATATTTGATACATTGCAAAGTAAATACTTTACCAAAAGATGGTTTGAATGTCCAGATATACCTTAAACAAGCAACTACTCTGAAATGGATTTCCCCAAAAAATGCTGTTCTTTCTTCCAGAAACATTTGTTTCCTATACTGACAGAATATTCACTTTTTCTGAGAGTTATAGTTCCATAAATTTTGTATCTTATTAAATTCTTATGAAACTTCAGTTGTATTTTTTAAGGACACTGTTTTTTATTTTCTAGACAGTTTGACTGAAATTAAGCTTAAAGTAAAACTTAGAGAATAAATAATTTGTTAAAATGTCCTTACCAAATGATACAGCTATAAAGCACCCCTAAACTTTTCTGTTCAACAGAATTCTACATTTATTCCGCCTTTCTAGTGATCTGATCTTAATATTGTGTGCAAATGTTCAAAATCATATAATTCTGATAATTTTAAAGATCAGTAACTGGCATCAAAGACTATATTTTTTTAATTACTTGCAATAGCATGAGGGGTTGGTTTGGTATGTTTATATAATTACGGCAAAACACTCAACGGCTATCTGCCTAATGGGATTGGATGCTTTCGTGGAAGACTTTCTTTGGAAAACCAGCTCATATACACATTACATGTGGAGAAAACAAAACAAAAAAAAGGACCATGCAGAAAGCCCATTTACCGGGATTCGAACTACTGACCAAACCATCAATGTTCAGCAACTCAGTTGCTGGTGGGCAGTAGCATAAGGGAAAAAACTAAATATCTGAAATGTTCTTTGTAAGAGGGTTGATATAAAAATATATATTTCATGTATTTTAACCAAAAGATGGAATATAACCAAAACTGTCAAACTCTTACAGCTTAGTTTGTTAAATGCTTAATTTGACACTATGCACTATAATATAGATATATTAAGCAGAGGATTTTTTCTTTTATTGTAAAAAAAGAGGAGATTAATCCAAATATGGTCAAGTTCTAATACGTTGAAAGTGAATGGACATACCCCCCCCAAAAAAAAAACAAATTAAAAAATTTGATTCTAAATTAGTATTAGTTTTGAAAAGTATGTTCCAACACTCCTTCAGCGTACCTTCAAATTCCTAGTATTGATACATACTTGATGATTTCGATTGGGTTATACAGTAGACAACTTGGAAACTAATATTACCAGTACTGTTGTTTACATTCTCAGAAATACTTATCTTGTAAGCTGGTCACCTTATGAAGGTTTATTACACAGACTCTTTAAAAGAGATACAAATACATATGATCAAAAAGCTACCACAAGAGTTTGAAACTGATTTACCCTTTGAATGGCGAGGCATTTTAAATCTACATATTTATTAGTAGCATATCTGCATATTTATTATTTAACTATATTTATTAGCTTATTTATTATTTAGCTATATTATAGTATCTACATATTTATTATTTAGTTTTTATTAGCTAAATTTGCATAATTACTTATTTTAGCCTCTGTTTTTCATAAACTTCCATTCATGGAGTGGATATTTAGATCATTAAAGAATGTAAGAAACTAAAATATTTTAAATTATAAGCCAATAATATATTAAGTGCAAAAAATCTCCTAACCATATATATAAAGGCAGTCATGACACTTAGGAGGTTAAGAAAAGATGCTTAAATCTTTTTACTTTCCCATATAAATTTGGTGAAGCATAAAACTATAAATCATTGCTGATAATTAAAAAATAAGTCAAAAAAATTCCAATACAAACTGACACATAAGTTTTACTTTACAAGAAGGGTTAATTAGTTATCCTAAAACTCTCATTGTAACAGTAATTACTCATATTGAAACGTTTATATTGCATTTTACTGAAAAAATTAAATTCATGTAAACATACTGTAAAAAATATAAAAAATTCCTTGAGTATAATTTTAGAATGATAATTATTATATCAATAATAATTCTGGTAAGTATAAAGCACTAATTCAGAGCCTTTTTTATTTCCAAGGAGTTTCCATATAGATGCTCTAAATCTATTCCTATTTAATCTTTTTAATTCAGAAATTATTAAACATATTCTGTAGTTTTTTTAAAATTATTATTATTTTTAAAATAACCTCTTCATCTGAAATGGGAATTACCTTCATCCTCTTTCTGTTCTGAGTCACTTTTCTCATCTTGCTCTTCATCATGATTATCCCATTCATTATCTTTCTCATCATCAGTAATAGGAAGTACTTCTTCCTTCATGAAATTAAAAAATACAGTATGCAATTGCAAAGAAAAAAATACAATATATAATTGCATCATTCAGCAATTTAATAGAGTGAAATGGAATTATAATTTAATAAAATGAAATGGAAAAGAAATATATTGCATGCCACAGAGACATAGCAATACATATCCAACGATTCAAAAAATAAGACAAGATCTCTCATTATATAAATTGACACAACTTACACATCAACAGTAAGATTTTAGTAATTTATTTATATTCTAAATATTTATTCTGATGTTATACTGAGGTACCTACCTCTGCCATCACAGAAGCTAATACCCAGCACATGAAATTTAAAAGTCATGTCTTAGTAAACTACCTTTTCTAGTGTGTGCCATTCACGTAATATATCAGTGGTCGAATGAAAACTGTTGAGTTTCCAATCAGGAATGTAAACAAGATGATCCAATCTCTCTCACCACCAGCACATTATCCATGTTGCACAGTCCATTTTTTGTTATAATACAATGCAGAAATTGCACTCTTTTCTATTGTTCCGTATTAAGAGCATGGCAAAGGTTTTACAACGTAGACAATTCATATGGTTTTATGATCTACACACAGTTTCAGTACCCAGTATGAACATATACAGTCTGTCCAAAAATTATGCAAACTGGGATATTAGTGATTTTGAGGTAATGTCAGTCCAGCACACCTTCTACAATTTTCTTGTTGACGTGGGACCAACTGGAGCATCAATTACCATCAGATTGTCAGCAAGTGTACAGCAAGAGGCAGATTTTTCGGGGGGGGGGGGGTTTTGTTGGTTTAGAGGCACTTTTTTCCTGCTCTTGTTAATGATGGAGATTGAAAAAAAAGACTCACCAGTGATTGACACAAGATTTTAATGAAACTTGAGATACATTCTCAGGAAATTCAGGGCTATTCATGGAGATAATGTACTAAAAAAAGGAAAAGGAGAACAAACCATGAAAAAATATTGAAAAAGTTGATCAAAATGACCTTTTTTTTTTTTTTTTTTACATTTAACGATACTGTTCGATGTTATGCAAATTGTATTTCTTTCTTTGTACCGAGGAGCGGCGCAGACGCAAATTTGTTAGGTTTTTAAAGCTCGCGTTTAGAGCTTTGAGGTTGCTGTGAATTACTGGAGTTTCAACTAGGCAGAGGTTCTTCTGAGTTTGTGTTGGTAAGCTGCCACTGAAGTCGGAGTTTGTGTGGTCTTCGCCGTTCCTCAACTAACTTACTATTTGAAAGTCAATAAAGAAGTTTCGGTCAACGTTAGGAGTCTGAGGTTTTTTGAGTTCTATACTGAAGTAACATCAAGTTAATTTACAGTCGACTATTTTTAAACAACGGAACGTACATATTTTATGGTCCGTCGGCTACGGAGTCACAGTAAATTTGGTGAGTCAGTGTGTTTTTTTATCTTTCTTATTAGGTAATGGAATTTACAACGCTTAAGACTAAAAAGCGTGTAGCTAAAGCTAAGTTAAGTAAACTGAAAAAGAAAATTGCAGTGACTTACGATTCTGCTGATGTTGATCAGTTGGAACTTTTTAAATCTAGATTAAATGACTTAATGACTGAACTTTCGGATATTTTTAGTAACATATTTGTAGTGTGTGAAGAAAAAGATATTGATGTATTTATAGAAGAAACAACAGGTCATACAAAGATACTGTTGATGAGTTAATTTTAATGCTAACCAGAGTTAAGAATGTTAAAGACATTAGTGTGGAAACTAAATCTTGTGAAATAGCGAGTATACGCTTACCTAAGCTAACTCTTCCTGTATTTAGTGGCAAGTACTGAAGAATGGTTATCATTTTTTGATTTATTTAAAACGGCGAGATAGTGGATAATGACCTGTTTATCAGGTGCACAAAAGCTACAATATTTAAAGGTGTTCTTTAAAAGGAGATGCTTTGCGGATTGTTCAAGCTTTAACTATTTGTGACTAGGAATTTCGAAATAGCGTGGCATTTATTGTGTCAAAGATTTTCACATAAGAGAGAATTACTTTCATCGTTATTAAAGAAAATCTTGTATTTATCAAATTTACAAGCTGAAATTCCTAGTCAGATATTAGCGTTAGTAGACACTGTAAGAGAGTGTGTTATGTTCGTTTGAAAATCTAGGATTCAAAGTGGAGCAATTTGCGGATACTATTTTAATGTTAATAGTACAGTTTAAATTGGATTCTTCGACGAGAGGATGGTGGGAAAGAACATTAAAGAGTGAGGAAATACCACCAACACTTAATAATCTGCTAGAGTTCTTTGAAATCTCATGCCAGAACCTTGCAAGCAGGTAAACCGCAAGGTGTTAAAAAAACAAGTTACAAAAGACAAATTAACTTCATTGGCTTCAGAGATTCGCGCGCAGTGTACGTATTGTAAAGCCGGTCATTCAGTTTTTAAATGTAATAAGTTTTTAAATCTGAATGTTCAGGAACGCGTTAATTTTGTCAAGAGAAATAATGTTTGTTTTAATTGTTTGGTTTCAAACCATAAAGCTTTCGAGTGTAGAAGTACACATAAATGTAAAAAGTGCTTTAAAAATCATCACACACTACTGCACTTCGAAAGAGTTCAAAGTGAACCAAAGGCACGTAAAGGAGTTACAAACAGTTCGAATGAATTATCAGTGACGGCTAAGCCATTTTTCCCTGGGCCAGAACCTCGCACTCAGTCGGCTGGGTCAGGGGAGAATATCGCAAGTTCTAGTCCAGTAATTAAATCTTGTGTTTCAGACTTTAATTTTCAGAGTGAAATTTTATTATGTACAGCTGTTATTAAAGTGTTAGATTCATCGGGTGAATACCAATTGTGTAGAGCCCTCCTTGACCCTGGCAGTCAAGCAAGCCTGATTTCTGAAGATTGTGTACAAAGGCTAGGGTTAGCAAGAAGAAATGCCAAAGTTTTTATTTCATGTTTAGGGTCTTTGGATACGAAAACTAATGGAATTACGGAAATAAACTTACGTTCCGCATTTTCCGGCGAAAGTGTCATTTTAAAACACCAGTATTTATCATCAATAGAATTATTGGAACTTTGCCGCATTTTACATTGGATAAGAAGTACGTTGAGGAATATAATGATTTAATGTTAGCAGATCCAACCATTTTACAAAAGTGGGCCTGTTTGATATACTTTTAGGCGTAGATATTGCCTTACCTCTTTTAAAGGGAGAAATAATTAAATGTGAAGAAGGTAAACCGGTAGCTTCGCGTTCTGAACTGGGATGGATTATTTCAGGTAGTGTGAATAATTCAACAGAAATTAATCCTACTATCTATGTTAATAATATACAAGTGGAAACTGATCAGATGCTGTCTGACTTTTGGAAATTGGATGCTGTACCTACGTGTGACATGCTTACTAAATCGGAGAGAGCATGTGAAGATTACTTCAAATCTACATACACGAGAGAGGAAAGTGGGGTATGTACTGTGAAATTACCGTTTCACTCTCCGCCTTCTCAGCTTGGAGATTCCAGACAATTAGCTATGCGTAGATTCCAATCTTTAGAAAATTCACTTCTAAAAAGGCCTCAGATATATGAACAGTATAGGATTTCATGAGGGAATACCTTGAGCTGAGAAATATGGAGGGAGTGCCTGAGGGAGAGATTTCTTATTGATTCTACGTGTTACATGCCTCATCATGCCATGTATTAAAGGAATCAAGTACTTACGACTAAACTGAGAGTTGTTTTCGATGCTTCAGCTAAAACGACATTCGGGTCTTTCATTAAATGATATTTTGATTGGTTGGGCCAAGAGTTCAGCAAGAGCTGTTTCCAATTCTTCTACGGTTTAGAACTTCACAAAATTGCAGGTATGTGCCGATGTAGAGAAGATGTTCAGACAAATTTCGTGTCCACCCAGAAGATACAAATTGGCAACGATTACTGTGGAGGGATGGATAGTCCTAGTGAGCCCTTGAGTACATTCAGATTAGTAACAGTTACGTATGGGACTGCCTGTGCACCATGTTTGTCCACTAGAGTAATGAAACAACTTGCATTAGATGAACAAGTGAGATTTCCTTTAGCATCAAAATTGCCCTTCGTGATTTTTATGTTGATGATTTGCTTTCAGGCGCACGAAGTGACGACGAAGCGAATGTTTTAGTTCAGCAGTTGAAGTCAAATGATGGAAAAGGGTGGATTCTCGCTTAAGGAAGTGGATTTCAAACAGTTCAGCTATTTTAGAAGAATATTCCCGAGTGCTTACGAGAATCCAGTATTTCTCTTGAAATAAACCAGTGACAAAGAAAGTAAAAGTATTGGGAATTAATTGGAAACAACTCTAGTGATACGTTTCATTTTTCGGTATGCATAAGTGATAAAGAGTTTACCTAAGAGGACTATTTTATCAGAAGTAGCCAAAATCTTTGATTCCAATGGGATGGTTAGCGCCAACAATAATATACGCGAAAATATTATTACAAGAGTTTGTGGAAGTTTACAGCTGGGTTTGGGATGAAAATCGTTGACATAGAGAATAAGTAGAAAATGGAAGCGTTTCTACCTAGAACTGCCCTTACTTTACTTTCAAGCTTACAATTTCCGAGGTATGTCTTGAGTCCGAAGGCAGTAGTTATAGAAATCCATGGTTTCTGCGACGCTTCAGAAAAGGCTTATTGTGCAGTCATCTATCTCCGAACAATCAACCTTGATTCGTCAGTCAAAGTCAAGCCTTCTGACATCGAAAACCAGAGTAGCGCCCTTTAAAAACCCAGTCTCTTCGAGACTAGAGTTGTGTGCTGCGTTACTTTTAACCAACCTCTTACATGCAGTATTATCATGCATAGAACTGCCTATTAACAATATTTACACATGGACCGATCTCGCGGGTTACATTGGCATGGGTTTCGTCCGAACCCCTCGCCGTTGGCTACCTTTTGTGGCAAATCGAGTTGCAAAAATCCAGGAAGCTGTTCCAGGTATTCAATGGAATTATGTTGCTGGAAAAGAAAATCCTGCAGACTGTGGGACC